CCCTGATGACAGTAAAACTTCTAAAGGTATGAACTTAAAATATCAGAATTTAGAGTTTTAGCATAGCTCCCAATGTCACTGCTGTTCGATAAACTCTTACCTGCTGAGGTGGGCAGTGATGCAGTGGGTGTTACTGGCCTGCAAGGTACAGGTATAATGGCTTGGACATTTACGTTCGGAGTGAAGTTTCCTTGCACAGTATAGATGTGAGATGTAGTGGGACTGCTCACTACATATAAGCCACTTCCATCTCCGAAGTTCCATTTGTAGGAGATGGCAGAGTTATTAAGATAGTAGCTGGGATCATGGATCTTCACATTATATATGATTGGTGAGCCTTTGATAAAAATGTAGTCTGAGATGTTGCGGTCATGTTTTTGGAACATATTCACAGAGATTGGAATTTTGTCTGGAGGGGAAAAAAAAAATGAAGAAGTAAATAAATAAAGCATACATACCTGGCTGCAAACAACAAACAGCTCCGAAGTCTCTGAACAGCAGCAGCCAGAATGTGAGACATTAATATCTTTAACATCAGTTTCTACTTTAATTTGATTGACTGATTTGAGGAGTGAATGTCAGTAGGAAACAGTTACCCAGAAAAGTGTGGGAACAAGTGAGGAATCACAGGCCCCTGTGGAAGATTGCATTTCCTCTTGTAAATAATTTTTCATTACAAAGTAGAGATATCACAACTGAGCTGGATACAAAGGTGAATTACACTACTCAAGGCAATTTGCCAGAGATTCCATGCTCATATTAAAAACCTTTCTCAGGCCAATGTCTTCTTTTTGTGTCAGATGATGCTTGTGCTGAATTCTTTTAACACCTAAACAACAAATACCCCCAGTATTTTATTACAGTTTATTCCAACACGCTCACCTGTTATAACGTAAGTGGCATTTGCTCTTGCGATTGGAACATAGGCTGAGTGCCCTCTCCTGTAAACGGTTGCCACCATCACGTGTTCGCCAAGAGTCATATTCGCTGTGTTGACTGTCAACTTTGCTGAAGATCTTCCAATTACTTGGTAGTACTGACCTGAAACAGAACATGAACTTAGAACATGTTTTCCCCTTCAGCCTAGCTACAAGTTGGTTTAAGAGAAGCAATATCTTTGTGAGTCTTGGATTGACTAAATCAAAATGAATAGTTTAGAATTGTCTTTCAGTTGTCTGGCAGGTGGTTTTGGAGGCATGGATACTTTAACAACGTGTTTATTCCCATTATTTCTGTGTTTTTTCAAAGGTGTCAGAAAGATGACCCAAATTTCACTGATTTAAGAAAAAGCATTTGCCAAGACATCTACGTCTTTCCAAAACAATTACATGACATTAAGTTGTTAGGATTATGTAGTGGATGACGTTACTTCTTAGGCATTCTGAGCGATCTTGTGTTTCTACGCTTTCAGCGTAGCAAGAAAATATAATACCTCTTGCTTCATACCCTAGAGCCCTTCGTATACATTTGCTTGTTTGTCTTTGTAACAGCTGATTGTGGCAGGTAAATGGTATCATGTCTATGTAAAATTTGGGACGTTATTACTATTACTCGTGCTGATACTGATTATATTACTGATTTAGCTAAGCTAACTTAGGATACTAAGATTTAGCGTGTAGCCAATGTCAGGAATTGCCCAACCGTTACATATTCAGGAACTGGAAACACTGAAAATCAGCATCTGTGACCAGATGAGTACCACACAGTCAGTGGCAGTTTTCACCATCTCCCCAGAGGCAAGAACTGCTGCACCGCACCGTTAAACTGATCAGAAGATATACAGCACTATGGTCTCTCTTAAATGTAAGTATCTGAAGTGGTAGTGAGCGGTCAACAAATCATCTGACTGACCTGCTTAGACCCTCTTTTTTCCTAGAAAAGTGTCTTGAGTACTACTGAAAGGAAATTAATTTTCTTCAGTGGAAGTACTGTGAATGCAGACTTAAAGAGAAAGAGAATCTCCTGGTAATCCATGATTTCCAGACTGAGCAGCTGATGGCCTCTCTGGAAAACAGGGAACAAATTCAGGCTCTTCACTCAAGAGCATGAAGTCCTTTTTCAAAGACTTTTAATAAAACGTACTAACAAATGAGTTAGTGTACAGAGTGAATATAAGCTTTGCAGTGTGAGCCAAACCGAGGAACATGTTGCAGTACTAACCAAGCGTGTGAAACACGTAGATAAAGTTCCTTCTCCTCCAGCCAGGATAATGGGGGAAGGGTCTTCCATCTGGGAATACATTGTGGCTGTGGTTACTTGTACAGTTTTCCCAGCCACAGCTGTTGGTCCATTCAGTCCAGTTGTAGACATAGACTTGCTGATCCTGAGAGGCTGGAGAATCTAAATGTAGAAATAAGACATGTTCCCGGTCAACTGAGAGATGTGCAGAAAGTCAGGAAATAGGAGGCAGACACCCCAGGTTACAGCAGTTATTACATTTAAACAACAGGTTAAGTGGGGTATTTTTAGACTGAGATCATGTTTTGTTTGGTTTTTAATGTAAACACCAATTTTTTCTGGCTTGGCATTGTTTTATTTAGAAACCAACAAAAAAAATATTACTGTCTCCTGGGCCAGACACATTTAAAATTGCTTGCCCAAAACTTGCTGTTGAATACATAGGGCACTACTGTTTCACTGGAGTTAGTGGGGCTGCCTGGATATTTGGCAAGCAGAATCAAAAATTTTAAGTAGAAATGGCAGCTATGGAAGCACTGTGAGGAAGTGACTTACTTTGTTTTGTCATAAAAGTTTTCTATGGCACCTTTAAATAACTTAGACATGAATTTCAGTTCCTTTCTGAATAATAAAAAGACAGTTTCCTTCCTCAAACAGCACAACAAATATTAAGTAAAGAATGGATATCAGCAGCTAACAAAACATTAGACAGTCGAAAAGTAGAACTCAGGCTGACAAAAAAATTTGCTGATATGCCTTGAAATGTAAATTACTTCGATCAGTAGAAAAATTTGTTGAACGTTTATGAATTCAGAGGAAGAAAGGTACAACAGCCTATTTCACTCTAGATCTGGCAGCTTCAGACACTAGAATTATGGTATGCTTTTTGCTCCGTGTAGCAGTAAATAAGATGAAAAAAGGTGATTCTCTGATGAAAAGATTGCTTGATTTTTAAAAGATTGATTTTCTGGTTTGTTTTTAATTCTTAAAACGTGAGAATGTGAGATTTACTCTGTCTTGAGGGTTTTTCAAGATGCAGATGATGATTAGGTAGTTCTACAATTTCTAATTGAAAAAAATCTTAATTTTATAAATTGACAGCTTTATAAATTTGGAAGAAAACAGTGTGATAGAGCTGAAAAGCAGTTAACAGTTTTTTAGGAAGCCAAATTAACATCACTGTTTTGGGAAGGCAATTTTATAATGAAGGCAAATCTTAAATTACCTGGTCATCGTATGTAGCAGGTGCACAACAATAAAAATACCACAGTGATCTTGTGCATAAAGAAACTGATGTGGCACGGGTTACACGTGAGTGTAGTTATCAACTGAAAGCAACATGGCTGTTGTTCATAGGATGTGATTCTGATGTTTTCAGAGATTCGTGACGTATTCACACCAGCAGCACGTGTGTAGTGCAGGGAGATTGCCGTTACCTACCCTGGGTACAGTTTCTCTCATATATTATGTGGCCATCGTTATCTTCTTTCTGGCACTTGGGAAACTGGAGAGTCACAGTAACGGTTATGTTGGATCCTACCAGTGCTGGGCTATCAGTGTCCAATTTGGCTGTCACCCTTCCTCCTGTAGAAAAGAAAATTGGTCTTCACTGCAGTAAAGGATGCATCAGAGCAGCAGCTACCCTCAACTGTGCACTATTTACATTAGAAAGGCTTTATTGATTCCTCTATTTCCAAGGGCTTTTGTGCTCCTATGTCACTTGTGCTCTTATCAAAACCTCAACTTAGAACAATCAGAGGGACTCCTCATATTCCCCCACATTACTTACTGGTCTGCCATTCATTTCCTTCTTAGAGCCAAGAATATGTTTTTTTACCCATGATGGTCAATATATTCCAAAGGAGAATATTTTTGTTTCTCCCCAGGGATACAGCCTTTAGACCTCAGCTCACACCAGGTGATAATAAACAGGGTCTTCACCGAAGTTGTTAAACTGAAGCCCACAATGCCCTACTGAGGTAGCAGTTGAAGCTACCTCTCCTCTAGGGCATGTTTCAGATAATGGATTATCCTAGATTCTCCTATTGTCATCAGTACTTCTTAATAAGTATTGATGTCTGAGACTATGAGTCATGGGAAAGCATTTACTTTAACAATTCACTGTTCTGCTTCCTCAGACAACGTACTGGGAGTGGTATCAAAGCCAATCATCTCTCATTTGCTATTCCTTGCAGCAGTGGTGGGTATCGCACCTATGAAAAAGCACTGTAGCACCTGCACTCTTCAATAAAGTGGCTTTTCTGGCCAATTTTCTCAGTGTCTTTGAAATGCTTATGTGCAATCACCTTTCCAGCAGTCTTTCCATCTGGGATCTCCTTCTTCCCAGAAAGGATAAAGCTTTTCGTTCCATTTGTTTTGATCACTAGACCAGCCTTGTAGCTCCTTGGATGTGACAGGAGAAGTTCTCCTGTGGCTCAGCACGTCTTGAAACCCTAGAGAGAAAAACGAACATGCCGTGTCATAGCACTTTCCCTAGCACCCTATAAAGACATTGCTCTTTTGCTGAACAGCTTTCTTATTACAGCTATATTCTTCAACTGATTAGAAAACTCTTCGCCCGTAGAAAGTCACAGAATTTTATCATCGCAGCTATAAACACATCAACTATAACCGAACATGAAGACAATTCCACCACTGACAGACTGGCATTCTTCTACTTGCACTACTCCAAGCTCTCCAGAGAAAGAATGAAAAGGTTTACAACATTTTGACCATATCGGAGCGATTGTTTGTATGAATGGATATAACCCTGCAACAGTCAGGCTAGTTGTACACAGGTTGTGTGATTGCTGACTGCTTCGTGCTTGTCTGGTAAGAAATCTGTGAGTAAAAGGCTAATGGGATAAATTCACTCTGTCTGAGTTGTGCTCTAGTGGAAGTTACACCAGGAATTAATTTTGACCTAGTGAAGCTTCTTTGGTGAGTTGGCTGGTGGTTTGTGGGAGGGGTGGAACGAATTGTGACAGAAGCTGGTATTTCCAGAAAAGGAAATTTAGAGCTGAATAGTAAATTCAGTGTGTTTATAATATAACAACAAAAACCTATTAGCTTCATGCCTATTGCTTTAAAATGGCTCAGATATTAAATAACTTTAATAACCTTTCTTCTCATATTACTACAAATGATGGTCTCAAACTTTTCCCAGGCCTTCTAGGATCCCTCTTTCTGTCACAAAGTACACATAATGAAAAGCAAAGGAAATATCCAAGTAACCTGTGGGAACATGTCAACCACTGTAGGATGCCATAAAAATATGTTTGTAGTAGGCTCATTTAAAGCCTGGGGGCTTTAAACAACTCTGTCATGTTAATCAGGTAACTGCTAGGCGTGCCACAACATCAAGGGAGTTAGGATTTCTTCTGCTTTTCGTGGCTCTGTTTTAAAGGTAGCTGAATGCTTCTGAGATTTATACCGAAGTGCAACAAAGAACTGGATGATTTCAAGGAAAATGCAGAGACCTGTAAGAAGGGCAGGAATGGCCCTGTGCGCTGTAATGTAACTGGCTGTGTTGGAATTCTTCCAAGTTTTGGAAAAGGCACAGAACAGGTGTAGCCAGTCTAAGCATGGTCTTTATGGGCATGTGACTCCTAATTTTACTGCAAGGCAGAACGAGAGAAACAGCACAGAAGAAGAGGCAGGAGCTGCTTTCTCTTGGTGTTCTGTTGCCCAGTAAGATTTCTGCTGGGCAGGAAGGATGTCCCTCGGCCAGTCCCATCTCAATGGTCACCTTGAACTGATGCTGGTAGCTCTCTCCCCGGTCTCTTGAGTCTTGAGGACTGAAAGGTTCGAGGAAAACAACAGATTTTGCACTCAGAGGCGTATTCTCCCATGATCCTTTGCCCTACAGGAGCTCCCCACAATCTCACGTACATCGCTTGAATCAAGTCTTTCCTGCAGATCTAATATATTTTGATGTGAGCAAAGCATAACATCATGACTGGTATTTACTTAATGGCCTGTATCACATGCTGTATTGCTTTCAGTCTTGGTCAGAGGAAGAGTTGGGCAATGTTGTCCTGCAGAAACTTTGCTCAGGAAAAAAACAGATTAGCAACTATAAAAGTATTTCACAAAGGCTTATCAAGTTCAATCACGTTTTATGTCATGAAATTAATGTGTCATCTTATTTGCAAGTAAGTGGCTAAGGATTTTACCTAATTTTCCCATTCTCTTTGATTTTATCTAAAAATTATTTAATGAATAAAAATGTTTTGATTTTGTCAGATCAAAACATTTCAATCTTTTTTTATTTCCCCAAATGCTCATTCATCAAAAAGAGCTGGAACACTTTTAATTTTATAAATGCTTTTAATTTTGAATTTTCAATAACAATCCTTGAATTCAGAAGTCATTTTCTTGTCCAGCTTTGGTAATAACTGTGGTCACTGCTTCTAAATCACAAGCTCCTTAGGCATTTCTGTGCCTCCCCGAATATAAAACATTTCACAAGCTTCAGGATAAGACAAAGACGTTTTTACAGATGAGCAAAGACTTCAGCACTAGTTTCTCTAACACATGGAACCGAAGATTTTCAATTGCTGAATTTAAAGGACCAAAAAGCTTTAATGTGTTTCTTCTTTAACAATGAAAAACACTCAAGAACAGATGTTGGTCATAACCAAAATTAGAGCGATTCAGTTCAAAATAGACAGGGTAATATTACACTCCAAGGAAATGATTACTGTATAGTTTTGGTGAGATGATCATAGGAGAAAAGATCTGATACTTTGATTGACTTTTTTATTTCTCATTCTGGTTTTCATTTTGGTGAAAAATGTAGCAAAGACAAGAAGTTCAGTATTTCCTGTGATAGTGTGTTAGCTATGAAAGAGGGAATGAAAGCCGATGTTAGAACAGCGGCAATAAAAAGATGACCCAGCTAAAAAGGATAAAAGTGTATTAGAAGTAAAAAGGCTGATGTTACGGCCAAGCTAAGAAGACAGAAAATAAAATAAACTCTCTCAAGTTACATGCAGAGACATAATAAAGCAGGACAAAAAAGAATTTGAGAAACATACAAAACCATAAAAACTACTAATTAATCTTTTTTTTCAAATACAAGAGTAGTGTAAAGTTTGCCAGAAAGTCTGTGAGGCCAAAAGATGATGTAGATGCAAAAGAAGCATTCAGGAAAGATAAAGGACAAAAGTCAAATACATTAGTTTACATTTTCATTCACAAAGGAGGAGCATAAGAGGTTTCTGTGCTAGAATTTTTCTTTACAATGGTGGAGAATCAAAATTAAGTGTTGACAGAAAAAAAAATTATAGAACAAATCAACAAAATGAAGAAGTTGTCTATGTAGGATGGCTCAAAAGTATGGAAGTTATTCAAGAGTGAAATAAATGAGATATTAACCATAGCTTAGAATCATAGAATCATAGAATAGTTTAGGTTGGAAAAGACCTTTAAGATCATCGAGTCCAACCATTAACGTAGCACTGCCAAGGCAACCACTAAACCACGTCCCTGAGCACCACATCTACACATCTTTTAAATACCTCCAGAGATGGTGACTCAACCACTTCCTCAGGCAGCCTGTTCCAATGCTTGACAACCCTTTTGGTGAAGAAATTTTTCCTAATACCCAATCTAAACTTCCCCTGGCACAACTTGAGGCCATTTCCTCTCATCCTATCACTTGTCACTTGGAAGAAGAGACCAACACTCCCCTCTCTACAACCTCCTTTTGGGTAGTTGTAGAGTGCAATAAGGTCTCCCCTGAGCCTCCTTTTCTCCAGGCTAAACAACCCCAGCTCCCTCAGTTGCTCCTCATAAGACTTGTGCTCTACACCCTTTACCAGCTTCATTGCCCTTCTCTGGACACACACACTCCAGCACCTCAGTGTCTTTGTTGCAGTGAGGGACCCAAAACTGAACACCCTATTCGAGGTGCTGCCTCACCAGGACCAAGTACAGGGGAATGATCACTTCCCTAGTCCTGCTGGCCATGCTACTTCTGATACAAGCCAGGATGCTATTTGCCTTCTTGGCCACCTGGGCACACTGCTGGCTCATATTCAGCAGCTGTCGACTAACACCCCCAGGTCCTTTTCCACCAGGCAGCTTTCCAGCCACTCCTCCCCAAGCCTGTAGCATTGCCTGGGGTTGTTGTGAGCCAAGTGCAGGATATGACACTTGGGCTTGTTGAACCTCACACAATTGGCCTTGGCCCATCAATCCAGCTGGTCCAGATCCCTCTGTAGAGCCTTTCTACCCTCAAGCAGATCAACATTCCCACCCAACTTTGTGTTGTCTGCAGACTTACTGAGAGTGCACTTGATCCCCTCGTCCAGATCATTGGTAAAGACATTAAACAGAACTGGTCCCAATACTGAGCCCAGGGGAACACCTCCTGTGGCCAGCTGCCAACTGGATTTAACTCCATTCACCACAACCCTTTGGGCCCGGCCATCCAGCCGACATGTAACATCTTGCTTAAAACTGTTTCAGTGGTTGAGAAACAAAAGTCGGCAAATGCGATGACAGTTTTTAAAAACATTTCCAGGGGAGATTTAGAGGATTACAAAAAGTTTGAGGCTCAGATTGGACAAACTGGTAGAAACAGCAATGAAGAACAGAATTTGATGATACAGTGGATTAATGTGATATGCTGTAAAAGGAGCACATTCCTTACAAATATATTTGAGTTTCACTGAGGGAGCCAGAGAGCATGGGAACAAGGCTGACCTTCTTTCTATAGCCTGCTTGAGTTCCAGACAGCATTTGGTGAGATCCCTCGCTAAAGGCACATAAAGGAACTAAGTTACTGTGGGATAAGAATGAAAGATTTTACATGAATAAATAATTGATTAGGCTATATGAACCACAAGTTAAGAATAAGTGGCCAGTTTTCTTAATTGTTGAAATAATTCAAAATGTTCATAATCTGGAAAACAGGTAAACAGTGAAGTTCTTTAATCTGCTGAAGACAGCATCTTAATGTAGTAGAAGGGAGGACTGTATGAGACTCACTCACTCAAGAGTAAAACTATGAAATTCAGCATAGTGAAATGTAGCTTTACTTACAGAACGAGGGGCTCTAAACTAGCTATCACCACTCAGAAATGAGGTCTCGTAGCTTTACAGTTTTGAATGCAGTGCTCATTAGTGGTTGAAAAACTAGGAAAAGACTGGATAGAGAGCGAAGATGAAAAAGTCATTACAGCATTGTATAATTCCATGTGTGTTCATGTCTTGAATACTCTATGCTGCTCTGTTCTCTGCAGCGCAAGCAGAATATAAGAACTGAAAAAATATAGAGAAAAGTGACAAAGGGATAGAATTGTCTCCTAGTGAGGAACAGCTAAATAGACTGGGTCTTGAACCTGGAGAAGAGGTGACAGAGGAGAATATAAAAACAGAATCACGAACAGCATGGAGGAAGAAGCAATTTGTCACTGTTTCTGAAAGTACAAAAGTTAAGGACAATCAAGTGAAACCAGCAGGTTACAGGTTCTAAGTGCATAAATGATATTTCCTCATGTAAGGCGCAGTTAAGGTGTGAAATTTCTTGTTGGCAGGATGTTGCGTGTGCCAAAAATTTACATGGGTTGCAATCAAAACCCAAGTGCATGAACGGATGGAAGAAAAATCCAGTAAAACCTGTTAAATACAAGACTCTGCATCTGACAGAGGCAGTTCTGGTGCTATAAATCATCAGAGACTGGGAAAGTGTCCTGAGTAAATACCAGTATACACTTGCCCAGTTGTACAGCCTTTACTGTTTCCCACTGCAGACAGGTACAAGGCTCGATGGATGCTCAGCTGGACCTCAGCTTTTCAGGTCTTCAGTTTCCTTACTGTAAATTCTGGAATTTGAGCCTAAAATCCGATTTCTGGGTTCCCAGCCCTGAGCTCAAGTGAATTAACCTAAGACTTGAGTCAAGCTGGGAGCCTGGAAAGAAGCAGAGGACCAGCCCAGTGCCTGCCCACCATAGCTTGAGGATCTAATTCCTTGACTGGGCTCCCTGAGGTTGGGGATCCGCAGGTCTGGTGTCCCGGTGGGGAGCACTGCCTCTGACCTGGCCTCTCCCAGCCACAGCTGAGTGGAGCAAACTGGGAGAAGTCCATTCTGCATCTGCCTTTTTAGCCATGCTTGAGCTGGAGAAATATTGTTAGAAATCTGTTGAAATGAGCCAAGGCTTAGCACCGGTCAGCTCTGTGTATCTGTGGAGCGCAGGAAATAGGTAACTGAACAGCTCTCGGCATATTTCTCCGGCTCAGGTGACATTTCTACCCAGAGCCAGGCAACCTTGTGGTGGAGCTAGCTGCTGCCTACTGGTTCTCAAGCACAACTCCAGCAAGTGCTGCGTGTGCAAGGAGCAGCTGTTTTTGCTGCGCTGGCTTGGGCCATCGAACCTGCGGAGGAAGGGAGAGAGGACTGGATGAAGGAAGCACTCACGTGTGGCAGAAGCACACAGCACCGCTTCGGCCAAGAGAAGGAGTCCAAGGTGGCGACGAACACCGCTCATGGTGCCGGAGATCCTGCGTCGGCTCAGCCTGCACGGAGGAGCAGAGAGTGCCCAGAGCCTGCGCACAGTAACTCTGCTGGTCCCCGCTGAGAAGTGAGAATGAAGTTTCTCTGCTGCTCTGCTCTGCGATTAAATGAAGGGCCCAAGGACTCATCATGTGATGGAATTAAGCAGAGATGCATGATTTTGTCTTCAGCTTCTTTCAGCTCATGTGCTTATGACTCATTCCCTTTGCTTTCAGCGTTCCCTGGGATTTCTGAGAGACCTGTTTAGAGCCACACCATTTACCTTGCAGGCATTTTTATACTAGTTTTGCAGTATGATCAATTTTTATACTTAATTTGTTTTTAAATTAGGAACATTTATTTCCAGAAATCCAAATTAACTCTTGCCCCAGCCTGACTGCAAGTGTTACTGCAACAGCTCACTGCATTTGATGGACACATTGCTAGTTAACATGTGTCTCTCTCCATATGCTGAGCAACAATTGTAAACTACATGGAGACTGGCTGATTCTAACACATCCCTGGACTTAGCTCCTGATCAGAGTTGTTTGTTAAGGAAAATGTTATTCAACATTTAGTGGGGACATGCGTGTACCATCTACCACGTTGCACAATGCAGTGTGGCCACGGTTAGAGATGCAATCACAGACCATATGTAGTGATGGCCGATCAATATCTAGCTCATGAGTTGCCATGACCTACACACAGATAAGTACTTCATTACATATATTTCATGGTGTGTAGAGATCTAGGAAGAATAGACTTTGCTGCCCAACCTAATAATGAGATATCACCAATGGCTCAAGAGGAGTAGTGTAATACAGGCAGATTGGCATACACTGCACTTAGCGGTTCAAACTCAGGTTCAACATGCTTCACTAGCCCAGGTGTTCTCCTGCAGGCAGTGCAGCAACTGAATTTTGTTGCAGCCCTGGCAGCCTCATGAAGTTTCTTGCTTTTGTTTGTGGTGAAGAACAAGCTTTGATGAGATGTCATGGCATAGAAGCAAGTATGGTCCTCAAGACAGGAGTTCAGTAGTGGTTTCAATGATCCCAAAGCGGAGCACTGGCAAGTGAAACACTGTCCAAGCCAGAAGCCAGCAAGTTGGACAACACTAAAGCCACACTTTTATTTTGAGCAGGGCAGGTGGAAGTCTGTAAGTCCAAGGCACTGTCAATAGAATGAAGAGGTTGCCCAATGGAAGGAGATCTTACAACTGTGACTACTTTTTTTTTTTAAATTGTTATTTGTTCTTAGTTTCTTCCATTTTTCTAACATTTTCTATTAGCTGTAAGTTATTGTCACTAGCTGGAGTGCCCCAGCCAGCATTTCTCTCAGTAACACAGGCTCTGATGTCCAGCCCTGCGCATCTTGCATATGTAGACTCCATGCTTCAGCACCCTCCTGGCTGGAGCCAACCCTCCCTCCTACTGCCAGCCAAGGAAAAAGGTGAAGGCAGTAGCCTTAGGGATACCAGGCTTGTTTAAACTAAGCCCTCATTATCTGGTGGAAGGGAGAGGGAGCATAAATGAAAGTCAAGGCTGTGACTGAGTATGCAAAAAAAATCATATGACTGCAGCGTCCTCATGTGATTGATGCTTTTTTTGTTTTTATTAAATCAACTACATTCCCAGTTGAAATGTCAGGTTTCGAAGCCCTTCACAATTATTTTTTAAACAATGTGGGACATTATCTTTAATCGCATTCCTTTATTTCCAGGTTGTTGATCCTAGAAGTGAAAAGTGCCCTTCAAACACCATGTTTCAGCACTGGGGGCCTGATCCACAGTCTGCTGGGGAGAAAGGAGGTTTGTTTTTTTTTCCAAACAGGGTTTTGAGAAGCTCCAGAGGAAAACTGCTGACAACAAATGCCTGTTAATTCAAAACAAAAATTTATCAGCCTAAAAACAATAAAGTTGGTTAGGATGAAGCTTTTTGCCATGTTATTTGATACATGAAAATGTTACATAAATATTGAGTGACATTCTCAATAAGGGCCAGCTGGTAGAAATTATTAAACAAGTTGTAAATAGACATCAGGGGCACTGAGGATCAGGCCTGTGGTTGGAGGAATTCAAACCCACCAGGGCTGGGGTAATGACTAAAAGGTGGCCGTACTGTGCCACTCTGGTCCTTCGCATTCTCCCTCCTCAGCTCTTGGGCCTTAGACTACACATTCCTGGAGGGCTGACACAGAAAATGTTTGAATCCGCTTGTGCTGTGGCTACAACTGACACCATTAGCAGGAAAAGAGAAGAGAAGAAAGCCATATAAGAAGGGAAGAAAGAGCTAGGAGGAACAGAGATGTAAAAGGAGTGAAGAATAAAAAACCCAAGGAAAAGTACGAGAAGTGAAGGCTGAAGGACAATTTGAAAACTGAGCAGACTTCTCCAAGTGTGCTGGCTGTAGCTGACTGTGTCTGAAAATGAGTCCATGTGAAACACTGAATTACTTGAAACTGGTTGATCATCATCAGATCTTAAATTATCTTTATAGATTTTACGTTATTATTCTTGGTCTTTGAGAAACAGCTTCACAGTTAAAACAACTAAACTGAATTGTGCAGCTATAAACCAGAATAGATTTTAAATATATCCTAAATAGTCTTCTAGCAAAGAAGCACACGTTCAGAGAGATTTAGGGCTTAATCTGACAAAGAAGTGGGTGGGTAGGAAGTGCTTGGAACTTCACAGCTTTAGCGCCTCAGTTATTAAAACTCGCTGAGGAGATATACATCTCTGCTACCTGAAGGCCTGTCAGATGACAGGGTGTGAGCACATGATGTGTACCTGCATGTCTAGACTGTGACAGAGTTGGCACACTCACACCACTATCACACCGCCATCTCCGCAACATAAGTACAGGAATTGTTAATCACTGCTCACAGGAACTTAAAAAAAAAAACCCAAACAACCCAAAACTGAAAGGATTTGAAGAACGAACTTGACTTTTGGCAAGCCAGCAAAGGAAAATGAGATGATCTTGTTTTGGCAGCCAGGTACATTTAGGCGAATGCTGTCTGCCATTACCAGTGGTCTCTGAAGGGAGCTCTGCTTAAGCTGGACAAGTTCCCTTTCTGGGAAGAAATCATCTGTTTGGCTTCACATGAGGCAGTGGCCGTCACCTGACTGAACCGAACATTTAAACAAAGCTACATTAGCACTCTGCAGTCTTTTGTGTTATACAGGGGAAAAAAAAAGCTCTACAAAAGCTCCTGAACAGTTTTATGACTGCTCGGTTTATCACTGAAACACAAGTTAACCCTTCTGACTGGACAAACAGGCTTTTAATAATTCCAGCATCTTCATTTTTTGCTTTCGTGGTAGCTAAAGCTACGCATTTTACCATTTTTTATGGGAAGGTATTCCCTTGCAGTCATACTTTTCTTCAGATTCCTGCCTTGAGGTTGATGTTTTCCAAACTTGGCCATTGGCCACAGCATATAATTCTGAAGGTTTTTTTTGTGATAAAAGTAATTTTTGGCCTGATTTCCTGTAGAGGGAAGGCTTGAATGAGCATGCCAGCTTGCTGCCTTTTTTAGGAGTTTCTCTCTGTTGGTCCCTCCCTATAAACACTAAACTCACTGCTCAGTTGCAGCCATGTGCGTGACAGGGTGCCCCAAAACGCCTCGTGAAAGCAGCTTGCAGGGAAGCTAGAGAAACCCAAGGAATCATCTGCAGTGCTTTAACATCAGCAGATCCACACGAGAGCTCAGCCTTGAGATACAGATGCACAGAGCACCCAGGTCCACTCATCCCTCACAGGTGAACTTGGCTTCCCTGGCTGTGGGAGTACTCCCTAATTCATGCAGATGACCAGCAGCTGAAGACGAAGCACGGTAACAGATACTGACCCTTCGGAGCACACCACGCCTCTTTTTTGAAAGATGTGTAAACAAAGCAAGTTCTTTCAATGTCTCTAGGCCGGTGTGGTTTTTTAAGCTATGGTGTCAGAACAAGGAGGAGGTGTAGGTATCCTGGTAGTCCTAGTGCTCTGCTGCCATAGCTGATGGTCCTCTAAAGGCCTCTGTAAGCTTCTGACTTGCTCTGTGTGCACCTCAGCTGACCCACTTTCAGTTTTAAAGCTGCCACAGTTCATTTACTGTCTGGGCATTGTTTTTACCATACTACCTTTTTCATACTGGTTTATTGAACAGTTATTTACGTGGTTTGTGTTCACAATGATTCCTCAAGACACAGTCCTCTTCCAATTGGGAGAGCAGATAATTGCTGTGAAAATGCATGATTATGAGACTGTATGAGACCTGTATTTTACATCACGTTATAATGAAATCCATTCAGGCCTCCTTGCTACTCAGAGAGGTCTTAAAAGATAGCTTTTGTGTCATTCAGCTCAAGAGAGAGCAACCAAATTATTGCTGAAAAGTTCTGTTTTCTCTAAAGACATTAATTGATATTTTGGCTAGGAAAAAGAGAAAAATTTCTTCAAAAAAGGTAATCCAGGAACAATCAAACCAGCAAAACCCAGCCAAAAAGGTGATGTATCAAAGAGAATATACTTAATATCTGTTGTGTAGTCATGTTGGTGGGGGGATGTTGAAGGAGAGGTAGTCTCACAGCCAAACTCTGCTCCTTTAAAGCTTTTCTAAGAAACAATATAAACTGAATGTACTCAATTATACCTTATTCCCTGTGTATGCTATGTTTCACTTATTATGGGCTGGGGATAAGAGTTCAGCACAGAAGCTCAGTTGTTTTATGGTCCAGTGAAATTGCCTTGCCTGCTCAAGAAATAACCTCAGCACTTCCCTGAAATAGGAGTCGGGATAAATGAAAATTTTGGCAGCTGAACTTTAGCATAACATACTCTTTAATGTGTTAACAGCAAGAATATGGGCAACATTCTGCATTTTTTGGACTGTGTTCCCACTGACTCATGGCATTAATTCAGACAGTAACCTCTTCCTTAGAGGCTAGACACAATAATGAATATATATAGGCAATGGAGAGGGGAGAAAAAAGATCAATATATTATA